GAAATAGTCAAAGTAATTAAAACAGTTAAATAGTAATAGTCAAGAGTTGAGTAGAGAGAAGGTGGAATAGTTGCACTTAATGCAAAGTCAGTGCACTTATTGATGGGAGACATTGTACTTATATGGAGCAATTGCACTTATTAGACTAGATTAATTAGTCATTGGCTAGTATAAATATTGAGCCTATGTGACAAGCCACGGGATACGCTCAAATCTTGCACTCAAACTATTAACAATACTACTTGTTTCTATCTACTTGTTTACTCATTTCTATAAGTATATTTCGGTAACTTTATTAATATTAGTTTAAATTTTCAAAATAAAAAATTGAAAGGAATAAGGTTCAAATTGGCCACTGAACGTAACCTGAAAATGCAATTAGGCCACTGAACGAAAAAAAAGTGCAATTAGGCCATTGAACACTCAAAAAATGTGCAATTAGGCCACTGAACTCTCCAAACGTATGCAATTTTACCGGATAGCAGGTTACCATCAATTTTAGCAGGTTACCTGCTTACGTGGCAGCTTAGTTGGCATTTTGAATAATTTTTAAATAATTATTAATAATTAATTTTAATAATAAATTTTATAAAAAATTGGAAAAAATTAAATAAAAAATAAAATAAAGTCGTTTTTATTTTTAAAAATTTTTTTTAATAAAAAGTTATTATTAAAATTTATTAAAAATTAATTAAAATTTATTAAAAATGCCAACCCAGCTGCCACGTAAGCAGATAACCTGCTAAAATTGAGGGTAACCTGCTATCAGGTGAAATTGCACATTTTTTGAGTGTTCAGTGACCTAATTGCACTTTTTTTTCGTTTAGTGGCCTAATTGCATTTTCAGTTTACGTTAAGTGGCCAATTTGAACCTTATTCCAAATTGAAATTACAATTTACCGTCAAAACATTTAGACCACAAAAAAATTGTGATCAGAAATTTTAACCACTTTGGTAATCAAAACATAGTTCTATGTTGGTTTTGAAAAATTTCGACCACCTTCCTATAATGGTCAAATTTTCATACCACTTTTCGCAGGTTGTTGAGAATTTAAATTACTTTCCTAGCACTTTAATCAAAGGTTGAAACAATCGCAAAAACTCTACTTTTCCAATCACTTTTTTAGATAATTATTAAAATAGTCAAAATATCATATTTTTTCAACATTGAAGACTCTAATTAAAAATACTCCATTACTTTAAAACTTTTTAGCTAAATATTTGCAATATCTTTACCAAATCCTTATACGGAGTAATAAAGTTCTTTGTTGTATATAATTAATACACTTACAGGCATTTTTATTTTTTTTAGTTACGAAAACTGAAAAATATTAATTGTTTCATAAACGCAAGGAAAGAATCGCGCCAGATAGGGGTCGAACCTATGACTTTCTGCTTAGGAAACAGACGCTCTATCCACTGAGCTACAGGCGCCTTATGGGAAAATACAATTAGGTTAATTAAAAGAAATATAATATTTTAGGTGAAAAATTAGGACCGCGCCAGATAGGGGTCGAACCTATGACTTTCTGCTTAGGAAACAGACGCTCTATCCACTGAGCTACAGGCGCTTAGTTTTTCTAGTATCTCATGTAATTCATTTAGTACGTTTATGGCTTATTTTAACTTATGGTCAAATTCCATTTTTAGAATTTAGACCATTGTTACCTAAACATTCTGGGTCGTTTACCAAAGTCGAAAATTGGAAAAAATGTTTTTAAAAAGTGAAAAAAACTAGAAAATAAAAAACTTGTTTACTAAATTTAATTTTTCAATCTTAACTTTATCTCTATTCTTTTATTTTTATGAAAAATAGGAGAACTCAAAATCAATTTCTCCATTTTTCCAAATGGAAGAAATACACAATAAACAGTATTTCGGATGAATAGTACCAGAGTTCCTAGGCTGAAATCCTAACAAGTTGGGTGCTTCTTCTATTTCCTTCTTCAATACCTTTCTTCTTTTCCCTCCTTTCTTTCTTTATTCTTTTCCCGTCTTTTTTTTTTTTTTTTTTTTTTTTTTTTTTTCCATTTTTTTCCCTTCTTATTATTATTATTTTTTCCTTCTATTTCCTACTTCAATTCCTTTCTTTTATTTTCTTTCCCTTCTTCTTCCTTTTTTTCTACTACTACAGTTTTTATTGTGAAGTGCAAATGATTTCTTCACTTTTATATTTTTATATGCAATTACAAAATTTGAATGTGAATTTCTTATGCCTCTTCAAAGTATGATATTTATTTTAAACAATCTACGTTTATTGCTTAAAACATGATTTCTTCACTTTTCTATTTTTATACATGTTATTATTATGTATTTTGCTTTTTAATCGGTTGTAATTTATTTAGTATAAGGTTTTTACCGGTGAATTGATTTTTTTATTTAAAAATTATATTTAAAAAATGAAATCAGAAAATTAGAGAAATGGAGAATGAAATTTGGAAAACTAAAAAATGAAAAACATAGATTCGAAGTAAACGACCCCTCCATCTTTAACTTTCAATTTAATCATATTTAGATCTACAATTTTGTTATTATTGTCAAAATTTGGTACCCTAATGTAATTTCAGTAATTGGCTTTAATTTTTTAGATAATTAAATAATTTTTTAGTACCAAGACTATGCATGTGGTCTAATGGTACCCGGGTTGGACTTCCATTTGGAAGGTTGTATAAGTTTGAGCCTCAGTGGAGGCGTTATTGGTTCTTTGTGTTTCAGTAGGTTGAGAAAGTATATGAGCAGATACTATATTGTAATAGAGCCAGTAGCATTCAAAAAAGTAATTTCACAATTTTAATATTCTATTCATGTTTTGAATGATCATAAATGACATAATAAACAATATAACATAGAAAAAATCATAAAGAATATCTATCAAATTATTATTTATAAATGTTTTAAAACAATAAGAAGAAAATAAGATTGTAAAATCAGCTCTATATCATAAGCCGGGGAGATGAGATATTGAGTAGGTAGTAGATATGGCTTTTGGTTGAATTGTTTTTTATGGTTTTATCAGGACCGGGTCCACCATAAATCGGGTATAGCCGTATAAGAGTACATAACTGGGGTAGGAAAGTAATAGTATTATTACTCGATGCGCTAGGCCTAAAATGGTTTTGTAGAGCCCGAAATACTGGCCCAAAACGATGGCCCAAATAAAAAAAAATAAACACTACAAGCTACAACACAAAATAATGGCAAATTATACTATGGACTACGATCCACAATGCATTGTGGTCCAGGCATCAAATATACACTGAATTTCATTTCAACACAACTACAGTACTATTTTGATATAACTACAGTTTTGCTAGACAATATACACTCAAATATGTGAAATTGTTATTCAGTTTCATTTTGTATACAGTGTAGTTTCATTTCAACACAACTACAGTTTCATTTTAATTCAATTACAGTTTCATTTGATAATATAATAAAAATAATACGTGAAACAATGTCAATTTAGATACATTATAGTGTCTGTCATTTTGAACCATGATCCACAGTATAATTGCTGCAAAATAATAGATTAGAAATAAATATTGGTCTGAAAGGCCGAAATGGCGACCCAACTGCTTGAAGATTAGGAACACAAGTCACTGGACCAAGAGAATTTATTAAACCAAGTGATGCCTTTTAAGGGGAGACAAGGGTACATAATGACATAATCACATAAATACTTACATTAGTGTATCACGACTTGTAACAACAAGACTCTCAATCAAACAGTAGGAGTTTTAAGCAATAGATGAATGATATCAACAATACTTTGGAGCAATAAGACTTTTACAGAGTGTTTAGTTGGAATGAAGGAATTAGGGGGGAAATGAATTGTAATTCGGTGAGAAAAGAATAAGGTGAGAATAAAGTAGGAATTCAAATTACAGTGTTTGGTATGCAGGTAAGAATAAAGTAAGAATTCAAATTACAGTGTTTGGTATGCAAGAATAAGACATGGAATTGAAAGGGAATAAGTGATACAATGACTAAAATGCCATTATGTAATAATAATAATAATAATAATAATAATAATAATAATAATAATAATAATAATAATAATAATAATAATGATAAAAATGATAATAATAATAATAATAATAATAATAATAATAATAATAATAATAATAATAATAGTAGTAGTAGTAGTAGTTTGCCATAGGAGTACTTCATAAAATACACAACCTACTTAAACAAATTCAACACCAAACGTAACACAATGTTAAGCTTCTCAAAAGTGAAATTCAAAATATCTTCAAATACTAATTTTACAATATAACAAGTTTAATAAAATGTTAAGCTTATTAAAAGCTTACATCCAAAATATTATTACAATAACATACACTTAATAAAATGTTAAGTTTATTAAAATCTTACATTCAAAAAACATTACAGAATATTACAAATATTACTACACCACACGCATAATAAAATGTTAAGCTTATCAAAAGCTTACATACAAAAACCATCATAAGATACTAATTAATAGTACAACATCCACATCAACCAACAAAGTCAATGTGCAGCAAGAAAAGCCCTCACCCATCCCAATCTTCGATATGGTGGAAGGCTAAAAAGCACAAGCATCTGATTTGGATGGTCAGGAAGTTTGATCAAACGCCATCAAATATTCTTCATTTGATAATTCATCAAGCTGAATTAACTCTTCATCTAACTGTTGAACTTTTTGTTGAAGAATTAATTGAGTTCCAATGCTCTTAGTTAGTTTATCACCAACCATCATCAATGTTTCACTCAACATTATTGCAGCACTGTGAAAGGATTGTGAAGTAATTGGTTTATCTCTATCACTATTCTTCCTCTTTCTTCTTGCACCACTAGACAATGATTCTGAATTTGCTTCACTTCGTGCCCTATTACCTGATGAAGATTGAGTTTGGTTATAGAGTAAATTAAAGTTTTCACACAATTAGAATAAAATTTTCATATAAGTATAATGATATTACCCGATGAAGAGTGAGCTTGTGTAAATCTGATATTACTATTTGACATATCTTCATCACCAACATCTTCATCTTCACTAGCTAGATTGATCCCACCAATGCCTTCCTCATTAGTCATTTCTTCAATAATATCTTTCCAGTTTGTACATCCCTCCCTGTTGCACGATCTTTTGCATAGATAGAACTGAATTCATGATAGAAAGAAAAACTTTTCCTTTTGAACTGAGCAGCTTCTCTGTGAGTCTAAATAAATGAATTTTTCATATAAGTATAAAGTAAATTAAAGTGTTCACATAATTAGAATGGAATATAAATACTTACAGTTATATAAGAATCTCACACATAGTCTTCAGCTGTGACCATCTTTCTTTCTTCATCCCATCCAAAGCCATTGTTATTACTAGTGAAAAGATCATGTACTACCCTCCAGTCTTTTTTCAATGTACTTATCCTTGACTCAATATGAGGTTTAGCTTTTATATCCGAAGTCGGTATTTTAGCTTTTAGCATCCTCTCCAGCTCATGCAAATACCCACCTTTGAATCTAGTATCAGCATTCTTTGTTCCTAAATTATGGAGGTCAACCATACAACATACTAAGGGGGGTGTATTCAATCATGAATTTTGTAGAGTTTTAAAGACTTTTAAAATGATAGATTTTAATAAACTTTGATTGACTTTCATAGAGTCGTTCAAAACTTTTTAAAACTTTACAAGACTCTAAGTCTATATAAAAAACATTCATAAACTTTTATCAACTTTTTATTTTAAAAAGTTTACAAAAGTCATTGAAAATTTAAATTGAATACATCCTTACCAACTTTCAATGATTTTGATTCTTATCATTTACAATTTTCTTACAAAACATTTATAATGAGTAATTCGAGCAATGGTCCTCTAACTATTGCGATTTTCCAAAAGTGGTCCTCGACTTTTAATTTGGACGGAAAAGACACTTGACTTTCTAAACCGTTCAACCAAAGGTCATTCCGTCCAATATCAGTTTGTTAGCCGTCAATTTAAGGGGCAAATTTGTCTATTCAGTATGTTGGCCGACCACCTTACACAACTTTGCCGTCCTCTTCCACTGCCAAGCTTATCACCACCGTTGTTGCCACCTCCTGCCGCTACACCCGCACAACCCAGTCACCACCCTCACCACCTTCCTTCAATTCCAACACCAAGCAACAAGTACCCTAAAAGTACACCAATTACAATTCAGAACAAAATTCAGATCCCATAGTTCTTGAAAAAAAACCACAGTTCACATTGCATATAAATTAACAACAAAATTCAAAGAAAAGAAACCAAAACCTCCATTTAACCAAAGAGTGAGGGGCTTAAGCCCAGGGTTCACTTCAGCTTCAACAAAGTAGTAAAACAAGCTCCTCCCAGCTTTCAAATCCGCATCAACATACCCAGCATACTGCTTGAACCCAACCTTTGGCTGCCCAGGCAAGCCCTTCACCAGATCCTCCTCTGGGTACCCTTTCCCACCAACCAAAACCCCAAATATCAAGATTCCACACAAACCAAAATACCCATTTCTCAAAACCTCTCCAAGATTCTATATTTTCTCCTTTTCTCCTATAAATTACTGCAAAACTGTGTTACTGTATACTATGCATTCATTTTCTGGTGCAGGGTACGTGAATTCTGGGATTTGGCTTTAACATAAATCATAATTCTGAACTGAAAGCAACTTTTTAGTGTTTGTTATATATAGAGAAACTAATGAGAAAGAAGAGAGACGTTGGATATGGCAGAGAATGTAGCTAGGCAGGGGGGGGGGGGGGGGGTGTTGCAAAACTGCGTACTGCAGGTTGTTGAGATCTACTCAATCTCCGGCCCAACAGCGGGTGTAGCGGCAGGAGGTGGCAACAACGGTGGAAGAGGACGACAAAGTTGTGTAAGGTGGTCGGCCAAAATACTGAATAGATAAATTTGCCCCTTAAATTGACCTTTGGTGGAACGGTTTAGAAATTCAAGTGTCTTTTTCATCCAAATTAAAAGTCGATGACTAATTTTGCAAAATCGCAATAGTCGGAGGACCATTGCTGGAATTAACTCCATTTATAATATATCATAAAATTCTTCTTATTATATAATTTTTTACCCACATCAACATTCTCAACATTATTATTAATAAACATCAACAAAAAAAAAAAAACTATGTCATTAGAAATTCATAACAATATTGAACAATGAAATTTATAATAAAAGACTTTGATCAAATAATATATTTAAAAATATAATTACAAGTTTCATAAAATAAAAAAATAAAAATCTAATATTAATAATATATATATAATTATACTTGATATATTGCTAGACATCACACAAAGAACTATTATTTGCAATAGCAATTTGAGACTGCAAACAACAACAAGGTGCTACTGTTTGCAACCCCAAATTGTTGTTGCGAACAGTAATTCACTGTTGTTAAAAGAAAAGGAAAAATATATATTACGAATATAAACATAAAAAGAATAAAAATCAAAATATATAAGTATTTATATGAATATTATGAAACATATATTAAAATTTGGCGATGAAAATTTTGCTTTGTTAATGTATTTAGGAAGAATTAGAGAAAGTTAGGGATACAAAATTCATAGAAAAAATAAAAATCAATATAAACAAGCAATAATGAAGTAAAAATAATATTATTTCAAATTTTTAGATGAAGATTCTAAAGTTTAGGAGTGAGAGAAAAATTGGTAGAGTTTAGGTATGAGGAAAATATAGGATAATGAAGAATTTTTTTTTTTTTATTTATTGAATTTAGATAGGTTTATAGAGTTTAAATAGGGAGAAAAAATAGAGTTTAAATAGAGAGATAAAACATTCAAAGTTGTTAGAAAGAGGATTTGAAATTTTGGGGTTGATGGTTGGATTTCAACTATTTATATTTGAGAAGAAAAAGTAAAAGACTCTTTAAAAGTCTTAATCGAATACCACACGACTTTTAAAGATTCTTTAAAAATCTTGATTGAATACCACCTGACTTTTAAAGACTCAAAAGTTTGAATTGAATACCTCTAAACTTTTAAAATTCATAAAAGTATTTAAAACTCTATGAAAGTCATGATTGAATACACCCCCCTAAGGCAACATCTTCTTCATGGGTCCACCTCCTTGACTTGTTTTTTGAACTGCATGTGTCACTAGTTGCCATAATTCTTTACAGTAACAAAAAGTTAATAAAGACATTAAAATAGCAGGAGAGTTTATCTATAACAAACATGAAAGTTAATAAATTCATTCATCACATCATAACAATGAGTTCACAGTAACAAATAATATCATGAATTACATCATAGCAAAGAGTTCACAATACCAAATCAAACAATGTTTTACTACAAATATTAGAAGTCATAATAAAACAATGGAGAAACTTGAACCTTAATGTTGCCTAGATGCTTGCCATTCATTGAACATTTCTGTTGCTAATTCCATTCACCAATTCATCCAAGCATCTGAGGGCTCAATTGTATGTATTATATTGTCGTCATCTTCACCATGTTCATCATTTACTCCAACATATTCATCATTCTCTAATGGATCAACAGTCATAAATTGTCTAATAAAGTTATGAAGTAAACAACATACTATAATAATGCGGTTATGTGTCCTTATAGGATAATACGATGGACTCCTAAGAATAGCCCATCTCATTTTTAATAACCCAAAACACCTCTCAATCACATTACGGGCATCAGCATGTTTCATATTAAAATATTCTTCGGGACTTGTTGGTTGATAATCTTGACGTCATTCATCAAGTGATACCGTTGACCCCTAAAAGGTGCTAGAAAGCATTCAGAATTTACATAACCCGCATCAACTAGATAATAACAACATATATTTAAAAAAGACTAATAAGTGACTTAATCATTAGATAATAACTCATTCATATCCTAATTCTAGACAGGACAAACAATGAGGTACTTTCAATGGATGTGCCTTAGTAATTGCATCACGAAGAACTCGACTATCGGATACAGATCATTCCCAACCAGAAAGAACATACACAAATTGCATGTCAGGAGTGCACACACCTAAGACATTTGTTGCAATATCTCCTTTACGAGTTTGATATCTAGGCTTATCAACATTTTGTACATAAACCTTGATAAATGTTCCATCTAGTGCACCCAAACAATTCTATAATCCAAACACAAAATACTTAATTAAAAAAATACACCTAATATATACAAAATTTAGTTACATAAAGTTGTAAAATGCTTTAAAATACCTTAAACCACTTCCACCGATTGTCCGATGAGTTACTTGGGATAGGCTCGGGTTTTGCAAACAAGTGACCTTGTAAATGCATAAGTGCATTTAAAACTTTATGAAAACTTCGGCTAATGCTCTCACCCGATCTTCTAAAATTTTGTCTAATGACTCGGTTTTTAACATGGTGAGCAAGAATATGCAAAAATATTGCTACTTGTTCATCAACAAGCATGTTTTTTGTTGGTTTAATTAAGTCCTCCAATACTTTCTAGCATTCCACATAGTTTGAAAAAGACTTCTCTATTCATCCTAAGTAGTGAAATGCATGCCTCATCATTGTCATATACAATTTGTCTCACATAATCTCGTTTGCCATAAAACTCAAGAGAATAATGCCTACTAATTCTTGGTTGGGATGTCGTTGATTCCATCAAAAGTAAAAAAGTACTAACGGTAGTATACATCTGCAAGAATACAGTCAAAGCAGCCATATATAATTTGTTTTCTTCTTTCATCCATTGCTATTCTTGTTATCTATAAACAATAAAGTCAACAAAATGCTCGTTTTAAAACACACAAAACAAAAGCATACATAGCATTTTGATCCTAGCATTCATAGTTTTTGGAGAGGTTGAGTAGTAAGGGTAAATTTCTGCAAGACAGAATGGTATCCAGCATTGTGTGAATAGAAATGAAGTGAGTAGTTCAAAGATTTATTTATTTCACATGTTAACAGTAAAAAAGCCCTTACAACCACATATGATTACACCCTAGTCCCAAAAAATTGTCAATCCTTTAAATATGAATATTTCATTGGAGTAGCACCACTGCAAGTATGGAACAATCTTAACTATGAATATATGAAGCTTAAAAACTATATAGAATCATGCGTTGGAATATTTTTCCCGACAAGCATTTTACGCAATTAGTTATCTAACAAGTAAGAAAGTAACAACCTGCGGAAAAAAAAAAAAAAAACATCTAACAAAACTACATCTGCTGCAGTCCTAATCTTCTCTGTCTCCCATACTTGTTCTATGAGGTTAACGTACTTCTGCTCTCCACCAACACCAAATTTCTTTATCAATTTTTGGATTTAATTTGCATTTTCTAAGTTTAAAAGATTCAAAACAATTAAGACTACACACATTAGAAGCAAAGTGGCATTGGATACACAAAACATATAGAAGATGATATGCAATTAGCAAGGAATATACCAGAATGAACATGGGAATTGAATACCATTCCATATAAAAATATAATACACAAAAAAAATAGAATGAAAAATCAAGAAAAATGACCAAACCCTAGATCCAAAATTCAAATCAAGAACATAACAAAAATCAAGTTAAACAAGAGATTGAGAAGGGAGAGAGCATTTTACCTGGAAAACTAGGAGAAAGAAGCTTCGCCTTTGGTCCCCTCCTTCCCACAATCGTTGGTGAATCTTCTCCTCTGGTTATGATTTTGCGGCTTCTCAATGAACAAAGAAACGAAGACGGGAGAGTGATGAGAATATGTGGATGACAGCTAATAAGACAAAATAATATGAGGGTAAAATGGTTTTCACACTACCTATTTTTCTCCCATCAAAACAACGAGTCTGAATTAGAATTCAGCATCTAGAGGAAATTGCAATTTGGTGGAATTGCAATTCCCTCCAACCAAACGGCGTAATTGGACCTTCCACAGAATTGCAATTCAATTACACCCAAATTACATCCAACCAAATACCCCCTTAGAACAGTAGAAGTTCAAGCATCACAACTTATACATACAGCGAGACTTGTTAACAACAAGATTTTTTCAAAACCAATAGCAAAACTTTCAATACGCAGCATGACATATTGACCAAACTTTTGGAGCATTGACACATTATCCAATGAGGATACTTGTCTTTTATGAAAGAAGCTTTGAAAGTTGCATAAAGTCAGATTTTAAAGACACGTTGCAAGCAACTATTGTATGTCTTTTACACTTTTAAAATTCAGACATATTATTTTATTGCTAAGTGTGCAATTCGAATTTGTTTTTCTCCATGGACAAATTTGAAATCCAACTATAAATAGGTATGAATTCTCAAGAGGAAGACATAACCAAAATAAGGACAACAATCAGGAGTTTTTAATGAGATATTAAGACATGAAGCAATCAAAAGCTAGACCCGATCATTAAGTTTTATAATAGACTTCGAAACTTTTAGAAGATCTTAGGGTGTGTTTGGTTCGCACATGGGAATCAAAATCAAAATGGGTAGAGTAATGAGTTTTGGTGAAAGTATTTTTGCATGTTTGGTAGTAGGGTGGAATGTGAATGATTATCGGTATTGTTGTTTGATTATGTATGAGGAGGAATAATGAAATGAAACCCTTATTTTATTAGAGAATGAGTTTTTTAATTGAGGGGTAATCAAAACCCATAGTAGGACTTTCATACTCATTTCTGATAGCTAAACCTGTCAACAAACACACCCTTAGTTTTAAGTATCTTAGTTGGGATAGAGTTTTTCGCACTTTTGGTCCCACGACTATATTGGCACTTTCAGCTTTTCTCCACTAGCTTCAAACCTTGCAAAAAAGAGTTTTTTCTATTTTTGGTCCCTCGACTTCACTTGTGTTGACAAATGGGATTCACGACTTTTATTCCGGACATAATAGGTGCTCAACTTCAATTTTTTTCCACATTTGGTCCCATCCGACCAAGAACCCGGCCAACCCACCGGAATTAGACTCAACCCTTATTATGTTAAGGGTATTCTAGTCATTTCTAACCCATGTAAAATGTAAAATGATTAAATATAAGATTTATTCTGTATTTACACCTCATTCTCGTCTATCTCTGTTCGAATCGAAGGTGTGCGAAGAAGGAAGAACAAAAACCCTAGTGTAATTGACTACTTCGCACACCTTCGATTCGAACAGAGTGGGTTTTTGTTCTTCCTTCTTCGCACACCTTCGATTCGAACAGAGATCGACGAGAATGAGGTGTAAATACGGAATAAATCTTATATTTAATCATTTTACATGGGTTAGAAATGACTAGAATACCCTTAACATAATAAGGATTGAGTCTAATTCTGGTGGGTTGGCCGGGTTCTTGGTCGGATGGGACCAAATGTGGAAAAAAAATTGAAGTTGAGCACCTATTATGTCTGGAATAAAAGTCGTGAATCCCATTTGTCAAACACAAGTGAAGTCGAGGGACCAAAAGTGGAAAAAACTCTGCAAAAAATGGTCCACGACTAATGTTTTTGTAGTAAAAATGGCCATTCCAACGTGTTTTCCGTCACATTACCACCGGAGATCAATTTTACCCATTTACAATAGGGGTAAATTTGTATTTTCCATTTCCTCTCCCCCTGCGAAATAATAATACAAAAAACGAAGCTCTCCTCCCCTAAATCAATTTCCCTAACCGTGAACCCTAACCTACTCTCCACCTAAACCCAAACTTAATCCTAGCAAAAATTCGAAGATCAGTTTGAAGCTCTAAAGTTCTCCAAGGTGAAATAAAAGAATGAGTTCCCGTAGGTTGATAAATGATTCGCTGGAAGGTATGTTTGTATCTTTGTGTGTTGTTTTTTGAAACTTTTCGCAGGTTGAGAAGTGTTGTACTAAATCTTTATATTAAAGTGTTCATGTCCTTGATATAGTACTTTATTATACACTTTGTTTACTTTAAACTATAATGCAGACCTGGAGTAGTGATGCTGTTTTGTGGGGACTAGTAAATTCTACTTTTATAATGTGCTTTTGTAATTGCAAAACCAAAATAATCAATGGGACCATGTGTTAATGCTAGTTTTTTTTTTTTTTTTTTTTTTTTATTATTATTATTCATTACTATGTTAATTATTGTTTAGTTGATGGGGACCACCCTCTACTTTGATTTTGTTTTCTTCTGCATAATTTGATTATTGTATTTATAATTTAGGTGATAATGGTAGTGAAGGTGATGTAGAAAGTGATGGGCTGTCAGATGACTATACTGAGAGTGAGTATGAAATGGATGGTAACATATCAAATTTAGATGATGATGAATTTGATCAAAATGTTGATTCAACAGTTGAGTTTGGTGGGGTAGAAGGCAATGCTAATGAACCAGTAGTTGTGAATACTTGGGAGAGAAACTTAGATGAACCTAGTTTATCTAATGATGCATCATTAATTAACTCATATAGTGATGGGGGTAAGTGGCCAGTATTTAGGGCAGCTACTGATATGCAAGAGCCCCATTTTGTCATAGGTTTAACTTTTTCAAGCAAACAAGAATTTAAGGATGCTATCACTAACTATGCCTTTAACAATGGGAAAGATCTCAAAATTGTTAAGAATGACAAAGAAATACTTGTTGTTAAATGTAGCCATAGTGGCTGTCATGGACAGTAGGTCTAAAAAAGCAGCAGAATTCTTTAAATTGGAGCATCCTTAGACTGACAGATAGATATGATGGATGTTGTTGGACTTCTGAAAATTCAAGAGCAAATTCAAATGTTGTTGCAGAGAGGTTGACTAAGGAGATTGCAAATCATGATGATTGGAAAATGCAACAGTTAAGGCAAACAGTGTGTAAAGCTGAAAGGTTTCACATAAGTACACATCAAGCTTATAGAGCAATGAAGAAAGCTAAAATTCATATTAGGGGTAATCAAGAGGATAATTTCAAAAAAAAAAAAAATTGGAGTTACTACCAAGAAATAAACAGGATTAATCCTATGACAACATGTGTGGTGAAGCTCAGTGAGAATATTGAACTTTGTGGGGGGAAAGGGGTTTCTTAGAATGTACATGTGCTGGGATGGATATATGCAGGGTTTCAAATATTGTAGGCCAATCTTGGGAGTAGATGGTACTCATTTAAAGGCTGGAACAAGGGGTTACTTCTAATTGCAGTTGGAATTGATGCTAATGATTCAATATTCCCTATTGCATATGCCATTGTTGATGGTGAAACAAAACAGTCTTGGGTGTGGTTTTTAGAACTCTTACAAAGAGACAGAAATCAGTGAGGGGAACGAACATCAATTTACCTTCATGTCAGATAAACAGAAGGGTTTAATACCAGCATTTGAAATGGTTTTGCCTAGAGTTGAACACATATTTTGTGTTAGGCACCTTCATAGGAATATGAAGGTTGTAGGATTTCAAGGAAAAGCTTTGAAGGATGCACTATGGGAGTGTGCCAGAGCAACAACTGTGGCCTAATATAAAACTGCCCTTAGAAAACTTAGACAGTTGGATGAGGATGCACATGTGTGGCTATCTGATAAGAGTCCAACAGAATGGAGTAGGTTACATTTCACAAGTATTTCTCATTGAGATAGATTTAAGTTCATTCAACTTTGATGAACTTACACTCCCAGTTGCACAACTGAGGCCCAAGTCCAAGTCCAAGTTGCACCACCTCCACCCCAGAAAAAAAAAAAAGTCAGTAGCAATGAAGTCCAGAGTGAAACTTCCAGTGAAAAGAAAGTACTCTACCAGATCTTCAACTACAATGAAGTTCAAAAATACTAGCAAGGATCTAATTGATATTAACTGAAATATTACTCCAGGATGTAATGATTTTTTTGTTGTCAAACTATGAATGTAATGCTGAATCTATTTTGTATTAGCCATGTTGTTTTTGTCATACTATGATGCCATAAATGTAATGGTTATTCTGATTGTCATCACTGGTAATAGTAGTATATTATGGTTTATTATGTAATGGTTTTTGTCAAACTATAATGGTTATGGTTAATGGTTTATTTGGTAATGGTTTATGGTTTATTTGTCAGTGCTTTATGATTTATTAATTAATGGTTTATGGTTTATGGTTTATGGTTTATGGTTTATTTGTTAATGGTTTATGATTTATGGTTTATGGTTTATGGTTTATGGTTTTAGGTTAATGCTTGTCAGTGCTTTATGGTTTAATTGTTTATGGTTTATGGTTTAGGTAGAGTGGCAGTGGTCTATGGTTTATGGTTTTAGGCAACAGTGATTTATGGTATAGGCATACTTGTTGAAAACATAGCACATTAGGCAGAATTGAAGAAAGAAGATCAGCCAAACATTATGAACTTACACCATTTCATTCATTTCAAAATGTATTCTATTGCACATAATTGAAAAACATGCCTAAAGCATGACATTTTTGCTTCCAAATCCTCACATCAATTGATTAACATGTTTACAACTAGATGCTACATTCATGCCATTACTCCTTAAAATCTAACACTAACAACAACAATAATTACCAATACTACAACTTTAAATACTCTGATATTAAACAAAGATTTCTCCATTGTTCTTGCACCAGTCCTGGCCAATCTCAGCCTCAACTGCATTGTCTTCAACTCTTCATCTTGTGAGAACCTTTTAAGCAATCTGGAAATGATCTTCTTTGACCTATTATACATAGGAGGGTCGAACCGATCTATGAAGCCACATCCTTTACTCTACAATTCAAATACCAACCTCCAATAACATTACAAAATTTTGTTTTAAAAAAATACGAATTCAAAATGAAATCAGGATGTGAAACTTACTCCATTGTTTGGACATAGCCAAAACCTTCGCCCAGGATTTTCATTTGTCCATGAAGTGATTACCTTCATTTGATTTCCACATTTGCATCGTGTCGTTGGAATTGCCTCGCCATAATCCATTCTCTCTCTTTCACAATGTGAGGATGCATACGACCTAGCCATTCAAATTTCAGTCCAGAATCGATGAAGTTGCCAATGAAGATGGCGATCGATCTGGAAGACTGGAAGTGTTCGCAATTTAGGGTTCTGATATGGAAGGTTAGGGTTAATGGATAGGGAAATTGATTTAGGGGAGGAGAGCTTCGTATTATTTCGCAAGGGAGAGGAAATGGAAAATACAAATTTACCCCTGTTGTAAATGGGTAAAATTGATCTCCGGTGGTAATGTGACGGAAAACACACCGTAAGAACTATTTTTACTACAAAAACATTAGTCGTGGACCATTTTTGCAAGGTTTGAAACTAGTAGAGAAAAGCTGAAAGTGCCACTATAGTCGTGAGATCAAAATTGCGAAAAACTCTATTGGGATAAGTAGAAGTTGAGTAACACGATTGTGTCTTATGCAATTTTGAGCAAATGTGTGCGACTTTCATTTATTGAGTGTCAATAAATGGGCTAATTCACCACTAACTATTAAATAAATATAATTGGTCAAGCACGCTTAGATGATATGTAGTGATATTTCTCATATAGGAGGTCATGAGATCGAAGTTCAGTAGAGATATTGTTGACTCTTTGTATTTCAATAGGTTGAAAAAGTACGTTTAAACAAATACTACAATGTAATAGAGTGAGTAGCATTCAAAAATATATATTTGTAGCATTCCTCATATAATTATATATCAAATTTAACCGTAACTCAATTCTAATTCTTTTTTTTTTGAAAATTAACTCAATTCTAATTCACTTTTCCCAATTCCCAATTCACCTTAGAAGCTGCAGATTTTAGAATTTCACAGAGTGACATCGTCGCGCCGGCGCACCGCCATTCCGCCAAGTTCCGAACTCCGCAAACACAGGCCAACACTCCACAGTCCACACCGGCTGACCGGCGCCCGGTGGTAGTCCTTCTGCTCTCGCCATCTCGCATCACACCGGCGGCAGTCCTTTGCTCTGGCAGTCTCGCAAATTCGCAATCCCTGTCGGCAGTCGGATCCCATAGGCCTCACAAAGTCACTGGTATGTTCTGGAGACTGGAGTAACCCCGCACTATTGCACTAAGGCTTCTTCACATCATGTTTATGATTGTTTTTATAAATTTATGACGCATATGAAAGTTCAAATTATAAATAAATGCCTAAAATCTTTAGTCTGTACAATATGTTACTATCAATAGTTCAATACTAGTTGTTGTTTGGATATTTAGTTGTTTTCCGTTGTCTGTATTTTTCGTATACGATTTCTGCCCATCCTAGCTTATATTATATGGTTGCAGTGAGGTTAATTCGGATTGAAATTCATGCTTATCTATTAAATTAAATGTTGGATGAAATTTTATTCAGCTCAACCATTCATACTGGTCATCTAATTTTTAATGCTTCACAGGATCTGTGGATGTCTTTATAACTAAGATATAGAGAACGAAAGTTGAGAGTTATCGTGATCATATTTTGTCGATGCATATTCTTGTTGATTGTGTAACTACAGTACAGATTTTTTTTTTTAATTACAGGAAAATACTGGTTGGCGGGCTGGCCGGCCCGCCTGCCAGCGGGCTTTGGCATGGCGGGGCGGGCCAGCCACATTCCCAGCCCGCTAAGAGGTGGGCTTTTTAGCTCGCCCCGCCGTGGGGACGGGCTTTGGTGTGTTTTGGCCCGTCCTGCCCCGCGAGACCGTTTTGACGGCTCTACCTGCAAGAGTGTTATATGTTCAAAATTCTACAATTATCCTTTTTTTTTTTTTTGGTGGTTTTCTACTTTATTGATTGTGTACTGATCGTCTGATCTTGTCAAATTGATATTTCTGTCAAATTTTAATTATTACTTTTCTAAGTTATACTAAATATAACGAAATCACTTTCTTCAGATTTTATTTCTCTAGGCTATACTAGCTGCTTGTTGGGAGGAGATTTGCTGTGTACTGGTTTGTCAAAACACTTAGCTGAGCATTTGGGTTGCAAAATATATGGCTTCTGTATTACAAAATATACCAGCAGATGATTCCGTTCTCATAAGGGTCACCCATGCCAATATCAAGAGCTTCTCCGCTGATATTCGTTTCTCTCTCCAGGCAGTCTTCTTTCAATCTCTCTAATCAGTTCTTTTTCTTTTTCATTTATTATTGTTGTTTTGTCGTTGTTACTATTATTATTTTGAATAACTCTTACCTTCAAGGCTTCAACCTTTTTTTTTTAAAATGATTTTAATAATCTCTAAATGTTGTTTATTTATCCTTAAGAGCATTGAAGTTGCTACTTCTATGTTAAGAGATTCGTTTTTTGACTTTTTCTGTTTCCTTATGCCTTTGCTTTCATCTATTTTAAATTTAAACTTAACAAGTTGGGATGTGATCTTAGTATGGGTATTTTAAAATGCATATCACCAAAGGGAAAAAATCCCTCCATATTATCACTCTTGAGCAATCTACTTGTCATCTTTGTGGATTCAGCTACAATTTGGTTAATGGATTCATATTCTTATGCAAGAAATTAATTCGCAGTGCACATAAGTTTATGGGATTTATTTTCCTGTATTATAATATGAATTAATTAACCATTTTTGAAGAATCTGGCATGGACTTTTCTGTCACATGGCAAATGTAGATTGTAGGATATATTTCTTGAATCAGAAAGTAAAGTCAGCAGCTTATAACCTCCTATAAGCCACTAGCCAGCATGATCCATATACAGCTGCAGAACTTCCAAACCCTAATTTTGAGAACACATAAAAATATTTGTCCTAATGTTCTTCTAATTATGTAGAAGCAAATGATTAATAGTGCTCAAGTGAGACTGAATCTGAACTAGTATGCTTTTAGGCTCTTATCTTCACATTTGATAATTGTAACGTGGTTAATACATCTCTGCTTCTCTCTTTACATACATGATGGATTGACGAGCTAACTTTGTCGGTGGTCAGATGACAGTAGAAGCTGTAAAAGAAAAGCTGTGGAAAAAGTGTGGTACTTCTGTTAGTTCAATGTGCCTTGAGCTTTATGATGATACTGGTGCTAAAATTTCAGACTTAAGTGATAATACGAGACCATTTGGCTTTTATTCTCCACATGATGGGTAAGTTTTATCTCTATTACATTGAATTTCCTTTCAAGCTTTCCCTTTTTTAAAGTCATTATTATTTGAATTAGATTAACTGATTCATATTTGGTACAAGTATTGCGTAGGAGCTTTGATGTGTACATTTCCTCTGCAATTTTTTTTTCTTCTTTTTAGTTTTAGAGGACAGAGTTGCCTTTTTTTTTTTTTTTTTTTTTTTTTTTTTTTTGTTTGTTTGTTGAAATTTTGATGAGATTCCTAAAACATGAAACCTGGTCCACAGTCCTAATGGTTAACTTCTGGATTTAGAAACTTTGCATGCATTAAATATTTTTTAGAATTATTTATACTTTCATATGTACAACTTGTACAACTATTATCTATTCCCTTTCTTTTCAGCTGTATCTTTTGGTATATCCTGCTTTTATCCATGTTTTGTATGTCATTATCTGCAACTGTGAAGATGACCCACCTTTTAGATGGAATTTAGATTCAACTATTTGATAGCTTGTTCCAATTTCATTTTCAATGTACGTATTTTATCTAAACTCTTTTTCCATATAGATATCGGCTGCATGTTATTGACACTGATCCATCATCAGTAACATCTGGTGGTTGGCTGGAGGACACCTCTCTTGTGGAAAAGTACACAATCTCTGAGGACGCTTATGATAAACGGGATGGTAATCACAAGTACTAGAAGAGTGTTATTATGTTCGCTTGCCTATGCGGTACCCCTGTTTATACTGTGAATCTGCATATAACTAAGTTCATCCAGTCATTACAATACTGACACCTCTCTTTGACATTCGTCATGTTATCTTATGCATTATTAATCTAGGGTTTTCGTGGGGGAAAGAGAAAGTATGTGTCTGATACAGTGTTAATTTGTCCCTGTTCTCTGCTTATTATGTTTATGATTACTTGAGAGAAGATAAATTCGATCTTTTTAATTCATCACAGATTTTGAGTGGGGAAAACAGGAAGAAAAATGGGATATTTGTTGATGTTTTAAGTAAATTTTGATAGAAAATAAAGCTAGTGATTCATTATTACTACCTACTTTCATCTTTGAAAGCATGAAAGATCATGAACTTGTTGGTTACTTGGTTATCACAATTGGATTTTTGCTTTCCTTCAACCACTCAATCTTGGGAGGATAGGAAGTGGAGAATCTGGATCTTCTAGGACAAATGTAGCACTCAAAATTTTAAAATCCTTTACTTGGTATCATCCTTTTACAGTCAACATTTCAACTGGTGATATTTACATTGTAATTTGATGGAAACGGCAATTTATTTATTTTATGGTGTGTTTCAGGTACCTTCAGAAAGTTCAAGGAAAAATTGGCATGCAAAAATGCTACTGATAATGAAGCTAAAGTAAGATTCTCATCTTTGATTTGTTTTATGTTTAGAATTAGAATTTCCTCATTTACAGGGTAACATTAATAGTCTGTGTATTTATCACAACTGTTGGGATATTTTCTTTTACACTTTGCAAAGGTACCCTCTCTACTTTTGCATCCCTTATCTCCTAGTAAAGTGTATAGTGTAGTAACCGTGTTTAATATTACTGTCAAATTACTCTTCTTTAGTGATCATTGGTTTTTCTTTTTGTTTGGTGTTCCTTACTACAGATTTGCGACAACTACATGGAGGATCTCTGTGCACATATCAAGGTTGGTCTGGTCTACTTCAATTCCTGTTTCCAATTTTTTATTTTCTTTAGTTACAAAAAATATCATTTTTTTTGTGTGTGTGTGTGTGTGTTTTTTTTTTTTTTTAAGAGAGAGAGAGAGAGAGGGCTTGGGGTTTAAGCACGATATCTAATTTGTGAATGTCATATGGAATTCACTGATCTGCACCCTTTATGGTGTACTCTATATAAATACTCCTTCACTTACCACAAGAAAACTATAGGAAAGAAGATGGTATAGAAAATGTTTTATGGGTAATGAATCTTGTGTGCCATTGCTTATTTCTGGAACTAATTTTTGAACTGCTAAACATTATAAGCTGTGTAATCTGTGTTTTTAAATATATAAATTTTGCTTCTCTGTATAAGTTGTGATATTCCTTTTGATATTTTTCCTTTTCATTAGGCTATAAGGTTCTTGCACTTCTTATTAGTTACACCCAGCATCTTTGTTACCTATTTGTTATTCTGTTGACTCTTGAGAGTTTTTGAGGCAGCATGTTACTTCTGAAATACCCTACCAAATAGCTGCAAACTCAAGACTTCTCTTAGCCAGAGTTTAAGTGGATCTTGTTTCACATCTTACACTCAGTTGAGTTTCAGAGCCTCTGTACTTCCGAATTGTTAGAGTGGGATTGTATTTATTATCAAGCTCATTGCACCTTCTACTTGATTTCCTAGTATTCTATCTCTTTTTGGTCGGGCCATTTTTTGGTGTAATGCAGAGATTCATTGTTAATTTGCTCTAGGTGATTTTTTTTTTTTTTTAAATTTATTTTCCTGGTTCTGGAAGAAATTGTCCGTGCTTGTTATGCCCAATTACTTCCTACTCTGACATGACTAATTGTTGATGTCCAAGAAGGTAGGAGATAGATGCCAAGTTGAACTTGGGGAAAGACGAGGCGTTGTGAAATTTGTGGGTCAAGCAGAAACACTTGCTGCTGGTTTTTGGGTTGGAGTTCAGTATGACGAACCAGTTGGAAAACACGACGGCATGTAAGTTAAGCCTGTGTTTTGTACAATTTTCAACATATCCTGGGCTGTAACAAAGTAGATGGCAAAATGAAGGTCAGGTGATATCCTGCATCTACTTACATGCAGATAAACGAGTTCAATTAAGAAACTGAAAAAAGCACAAGAAAAGCACTACATAATACAAAATCCTTTGAGCTTAAAAGTCTTGATATAAAATGTTGTTCACTCTAGTCTTTGCACTAAACTAGGTTACTCTATCTCTTTCTAGAAATCCTGTATGGAGAACTGACAAAAAACTGAAATGTTATAGAATTGAATTTGACAAACAACATAATGTGCGGGTGTCAATAGATGTCTAGGATCTGAGTTGACCATGTGGTGAAATGTGACATCAAATAGTATTTTCTGCCTTGATTTTATTTCTTTGTAATTCGAATATGCAATTTTACTCTGAACTGTAGCAATATGCAATTTGTCTGGTCTAATTCTTCTGCTAATGTTTGCAGGGTGAAGGGAAAACGGTACTTCAGCTGTCCTCCCCTTCATGGTGGGATGGTCCGACCAGATAAAGTAAAGGTTAGTCTCACTTACCTTACCTAAAGAGTACTAAACATAAGAAACTTCAACGAGAGGGAAACAAACGAAAAAAATTCGTGGCAGGGGAGCTTTTCAAATTGAAGATATTTCCAATAAACTAAATTCGGAATGGTCTGACTGTACTTTGTTGTTTTTGTACCGAACTCTACATTCGAATTGTCATTATTCTATTAAGTTCTTTTCGAGACCTTGATCCATAATTTCTTGTGCAATTTATTTATTTCAGGTGGGGGATTATCCAGAACGTGATCCTTTCGAAGAAGAGGAAATATAGTTATTGACAAGGAAGATTGTTTATTTGATGTGATCTCTGTTTGCCATTGCATCCTTTACATTCAATCGATTCCAACTCTATTATATGCATTCCCAAACATGATTAAGAGAATCTTTCATTTTGGATTGTGTTCACGATCTTGTGTAATTAGGTAGATACAGTAAAACACAACTCTGTTTTGAATTTTTGTTTGTGATTGAATTTTAATCAGATTGTTGATGAGTGGAATGTGAGTCCCATCGCCCATATTCATGTCCGGTGCTCAGGACTCGGGTGCAAGTGCTGCTTTGTTTCTTGCAGCATGATTGGTTTATTTGGAATAAAATAGCTTTCTCCAACGTAGACACTGCTCCATCTTTTGTTAATGCTGTTAGACATGTTATATTTACTATTGTTAAATGTAACATTATATTAGTATAGTCAGACTTTGATTTAGTCAGTAACTGCTCCCTAATGTATAGGGATAGTTAGGTTAGTCATCTAAGTCTATTGTATCTCTGTATAACTGTTGAGTTGTGAATTTACGCAAAACTATTCTCTAATCTGGTATCAGTAAGTCCAGGTTTCTCTCTCTCTCTCCCCTCAGCCATGTCCACCAACTCCAGCTAGCGGACGGTCACCACCGCCGTTGCACCACTGCTGGCCACCACAAATAACCTCTCCACCCCAAACCACTTCGTGTCCATGAAGCTGACTATAAAAAATTTCTTGTTTTGGCGTACGCAGCTTGTCCCGTTCCTCCGCAGGCAAGGGTTGCTGGGCTTCGTGAATGGCGACACGCTTTGTCCTCTGCCGGTCATCATCGCTCCGGCCACCAGTGAGGCGAACTCAGGCGGCACAACCACCACCACGATCGCCAATCCGGTGCATGCCCAATGGATCCAACAGGATCAAGCGATCTTATCATTGCTCGTGTCATCCCTGTCCGACGAGGTTATGTACTTCGTCGTCGGCCGAGGCACTTCCATCATCTCGGCTTTAGGCTCGTCGACCAGGGCAAGGTGTCTTAATCTGCTGGCTCAATTCCAGTCCCTCTGGCAAGGTGACAGCACCGTCGGCGAGTATCTTGGGCAAGCACAGCTTCTGGTAGAGGATCTAGCGCTAGCTGGCCGCCCGGTCTCATTGGACGAGCAAAATCTCTATGTGTTCCGCGGTCTACGCTCGAAATTTCGTGGTATGGCGTCCTCCTTATCGGCGATCGGAGCTCCGGTGTCCATCCCGCAGCTCGCCGATTTCCTTCAGTCATAGGAGTTCATTTGGGCGGACGAGTTTACTCATTCCGGCGCTCATACGGCGACGATGGCTGGCAGAAGCTACAGGCAGAATCATGAGGGTGGTGGTGGCAATCAGCAGTCGAACTTCTCCCAGGGCCGAGGCCGCGACGGTGGTCGTGGACGCGGCGGCCAAGGCAGAAGACGCGGCGGCGGTCCTCGTTGTCAGATATGCAGGGCGCATGGTCACACGGCCCTGTACTGCCGACAGCGTTATTCCGGCCATCCACCGCCGCAGGTCCATTCGGCTGTCACCGGCGATGAGGCGACGATCACGGCTGATGCGTGGTTCCCGGACACCGGGGCGTCGTCCCATGCCACGCCGGACCCGACGATGATGGCGCACTCCGAGTCCTATGTTGGCGGCGACGTGTTGCGCGTAGGCAACGGTTCAGGTTTGGGGATTTATGGTTTTGGTCATGCATCATTGTATTTCGAGTCTAGGCCTCTTCGTTTATCTAACATTTTGCATGTCCCTAATCTTTCACTTCCGTTATTATATGTCAATCGTTTCACTGCGGAAAACAATGTATTTTTTAAATTTCACCATAATTATTTTGTTGTGAAGGATTGCAAAACCAAAATGGTGCTCCTTAAAGGTCCTAGCAAGGGGGGTTTATACAAGTTGTAGCTGTCTCGGTCACATGTTGCGTATATTACTGCTCAGGAGTCGGCGGATGTTTGGCATCGTCGGCTTGGCCATCATCATGCACGAGTGCAAGAGCGTGTTCTATGGGGTTGTCCGGTCACCTCACCAAAATTAAGTTCGCCCCAATCGTGTTCGTGGTGTCAGTTTGGGAAGTCATCCCGTTTCCCATTAGATAGGGTTTATGATTCTAGTAATAATGTACTCGATTTAGTGTACACCGACATTTGGGGCCCGACACCCGTTATTTCTGCCGGGGGTTTTCGGTATTTTCTTTTATTTGTAGATGATCACTCCCGTTTTTGCTGGTTTTACCCATTACGGTTAAAGTCAGACATCTATAAATGTTTTGACTCTTTTCGTGTGATGGTAGAACGCCAATTTTCGCGTTCTATCAAAACTATTCAGTCTGACCTCGGGGGCGAATATCGTCGTCTGCACGCCATTTTTCATTCTCACGGTATTGTGCATAGGAAGTCTTGTGCTTATACACATGAGCAAAACGGGCACGTAGAGCCCCGGAACAGACATATTGTTGAAACCAATCTGGCTCTACTAGTCGAAAGTTCAGTTCTTGTTAAATATTGAGATTACGCGTTTGAAACGACCTATCTCATTAACTGTCTACCATCGTCAGCGTTGCAATTTGTCAGTCCTTATGAGTCAATATACAACACATCCCCACCATACACCTTCTTCCGTGTCTTCGGGTGCAGGTGTTATCCCTATCTGCAGCCCTACAATCGCCACAAGATAGAGTATCGCTCTGTACCCTGTATTTTCTTAGGATATCCTACATTTTTTATAGGGGTTACCGGTGCATGGACTCAAATACTGGGAAGACCTTTATCTGCCGGCACGTTCGGTTTGACGAGACTGTCTTTCCTTTTTCTACAGGCTCACAGGACCGGGTAGCCACCCCGGTCACGCAACCGGACATTCCATGGGCTTTAGCGCCTATAGTCCCGTATGAACCTCCTACACCGCCGCTCGACGAGGTTCCCTTAGCCATTCAGGCGCCACAACTGGTTGTTCAAACCCAACAAACGGTGCAACCCGTGGCACGGCGGGCCCGCCAGCCACAGACGTTGGACAGGGGACACGATATGCGTCTTCGTCACATGACACGCGGGACCGGTGAGCAGTTTCATGCTTTAACAGCCTCTGCGGACCCAACTTGCTACACTCAGGCGGTTGGGCATCCTCAGTGGCGTGATGCCATGGACCACGAATTTAATGCTCTCATGCATAACAACACTTGGTGCTCACTCCACCTAAGCCCGGAATGAACATCATTGGCTGCAAGTGGGTTTACCGCCTAAACGCAAGGCAGATGGGTCTGTTGAGCGGTACAAAACTCGCTTGGTGGCCAAAGGGTTCAACCAGGTAGCCGGAGAAGACTTCTTTGACACTTTTAGTCCTGTAGTCAAACCGACTACGGTACGTCTGCTTCTTTCTCTTGCAGTTTCACAGGGTTGGACTCTGCGGCAACTGGATGTCCACAATGCCTTTCTTAATGGGCATTTAGCGGAGACGGTTTACATGCGCCAGCCGCCTCGCTATGAAGATCTGACTCATCCTGATTATGTGTGCCATCTTCAGCGATCTCTGTATGGCTTGAAGCAAGCTTCGAGGGCCTGGTTCAAGCGGCTGCATGACTACCTGTTGACTATTGAGTTCATATCATCCAAAACTGATGTTTCTCTGTTTCACTACAAAGCTGGTAACTCCCGGGTGTTTTTACTGGTTTATGTAGATGATATAATCATGCTCGGGAATGACTCGGATCTTGTTACCTCTCTCCTGCGTCAACTCTCTACAACATTCAAGATTCGTGACTTGGGGACTCCCAGCTTCTTTATTGGTATTGAAACAGTTCCCTTAGAGGGCGGCCTACTGTTGTCTCAGCGTCGCTATATGGATGATATCTTACATCGGGCAGGAATGTCCGACTGCAAACCTCTATCGACACCAGCAGCTCTTACTCAGGCCACATTTCCTACGACTGAACCTTACGAAAACCCCACTCAATATCGCCGACTGGCTGGGGCTTTTCAGTATCTCACCATCACTCAGCCGGATCTCTCCTATGCCGTCAACCGGCTATGTCAGTTCATGCATGCACCAACTAACGAGCACTAGGGTCTTCTAAAGTGGATGTTACGCTACGTCAAAGGTACTCTGTCACATGGGCTCCGGCTTATGGCGTCACCGAATTCGGACATCCATACTTACTCTGATTCTGACTGGGCTGGGTGTCCTATCGACAGGAAATCAACTAGTGGGTATGCTGTCTATCTTGGTCCGAACCTCGTTTCATGGGTATCTCTAGGGATGGCAATTCTACCCGCACTCAACGGGTTCCCCGCATCCCCGCCCCTACGGGTTTTAAAATACCCGCAAAAAAATGGGAATGGGTGCGGATATGGGGGGAAATTTATATACCCGCGCGGGTATGGGGGCGGGTGCGGGGGGAGGTATCCCCGCCCCGCACCCGCACCCGCACCCGCACTTATATATATTGTTAGGGAAAATTGTAAAAAATGTCCCTCTATAATATGCCAATTATCAATGTCACCCCTAAATTATGAGTGGTGTAAATGTTGCCCCTCAATTATCAAAATGGTGCACATATAGCCCCTCCCGTAACGGACCTGTGGTTCCCCACCGTTGTCCATCGATGGTACTTCGAATCGAGGGAGGGAAAAAACAACTAAATTACATATTTACTCCGACTTAAAGGTGTCTTACACTAACGGGGAACCACATGTCCGTTACGGGAGGGGCTATATGTGCACCGTTTTGATAATTGAGGGGCAACATTTACACCACTCATAATTCAGGGGTGACATTGATAATTGGCATATTATAGAGAGACACTTTTTACAATTTTCCCTATATTGTTATTAGTATTCATTTATTATATAAGTTTATGTATATTTTATAATTGAAAATGCATAATGAATTAAACTTCTTAATTTTTTGTTTATGAAATTTGAATAGGAACAACACAAATAACATAATGAGTAAACACATAATACAATTTATACTATCAACACAATTTTAGTTCCAATTAAGAACTAATTTCATTGGCTCTTATTAAATTTTAGAGTTATGTTCAAACTTATAAAAAAAATCAATGTGATAATTACAATTGTAGTATAAGATTTTTATTAGATTTAAGTGTAATATAAATAATTAGAGTTGCGGGTTGGGTATTACCCGCACCCGCAAAATCCCCGCGGGGCGGGTATGGGGTAGGATTTTCATTACCCGCGCGGGTGCGGGTGCGGGTGCGGGGAGTGGGTTGGAAATGAGGGGGCGGGGGCGGGGGATATGTCCCCCGCACCCACCCCGCCCCATTGCCATTCCTAGGTATCTCGCAAACAGCATACTGTGGCACGCTCGTCTACCGAAGCTGA